CAAAGGCGGCCGGGCGTGGAGCTGGCCTCTCACCCCCTCTTCGTGCACCATTCAGGCCTTAATAGGTGCTCACCAATAGCACTTACGGTCATAAGCCTGTTATAAGACTATGGGGGGGGGGAAGGGGGGATCCTTGTACATTTGAATAGGCGCGCGAGTGTGTGCTTGTGCACATTCAAGAGTGAATGCCTGTACCTCGGTATTTTGTGCGTGTAAAAGTTGGTCAGATTAACATAGCAACACGAAGCAAAGGAACAATTCCCCACGAAATGTTAACATTTTTTACTCGCCCAATTTTTATTAACCTATGCACAGTCGACGAAGCGGCGGCGTTTTGAACCCCCCCTCCCCACCCTCCGCGTGAATTCGTCTATGTAAACACGGTTCTAAATTACCATCAGCGCAGTGCCAGGGCCATGAATAAAACCAGGGGCGGAGCCAGGATTTTCAGCACCGGGGGTGACATTCAACAAATTTTAATTTCAAGAATGATTTAGAGAGAGTCAGGCTGTTGAACTAGACGCCATCGGTTGGCGACACACTCTGACAATGCAGTTGCACGGAGTCCGCCAGACCGAGTGTCGTACACTTACACGCAGAACGTCACCCCCCCTGTCACCCCCCCCCCCCGGCTCCGCCCCTGAATAAAACACAACGCATTGGCACAGCAGCCTAACGCGTCCGAGGGACCCGAGCTCACGTTCATCATTCCAAAGCGGTGGTGGCCGTCCACCTCGAGTGACATGGACCCAACAAGAAGAAGAAGTGCCAACCCTACAAAAGACCGCTCGCTCCGAGAGGACATCCGCTACCACCGTATAAAATGTTTTTTTAAAATTATAAATATAATAGTGCAGTGGGAGACTTCCGACGCACGCCAAGTGGCACACAGGACGATACACTTCGTAACGCGGCTACACCCAGGCTGTCCAAACACGCAGCCCGTCTCCGTCCCGCGTAGCCACGCTGGCTGGGTGACGAGCGTAGCGGCGGCGACGGAGCTGCTCCTGCAGAAGAACAGCCACGCGGTCGGAGACGAAGAGATGACGATGAGCAGCGACGCAGCCAGGACCCGGGACCCCGCGCTAACGGAACCAGAGGATCGGTGCCCCTTATATCCGCCTGGCGCGGCCAAGCTCCACCTCTGGCCACGCCCCCCTTTCCAGAACCTTCGGGTTGGTTCCCGGAGCTTCTCGACTGACTCCGCCCTTGACCTTTACCCCAGATACACCCCACCCCCCCCCTTATAATAAGGCATTATGTAATGCAGCTCTAACCGTAATTACCCCGTACAGGCCAGCAGGTGTCACCCTGTCATTACAATAGTAATACAGTCATACCTCGGTATACGGCAGCTTTGGAATACGTAGAATTTGGTACACGTCGTGTTTTCTAGAGAAAAACATGTCTTGGGATACGACGTCTTGCTTGGGATAGGACACGCTTGCTAGAACTTGTATGGCATGGGATGAGTCACCGCGTACCCGCGTAGACCCCGTTCACGACTGAAACAAAGCGCCGCTCCCTCAGTTTGTAGGCCATCAACTCCTCTCAGCAAGGTGCATTCAATGTATGTATGTTAGTACGAAGTAGTGTCTACATTATGTTATACAACCCCATTAATGTATAATGTGCCATATAAAATATCATTTCTTATTCTGTGGAACGGATTAATTCCTTTCCCTTTATTTCTTATGGGAAACATTCGTTTGGTGTTCGTCATTTTCGGCATAAGTCCTCCTACCTTCTGGAACGAATTAGCGACGTACACCGAGGTGCCACTGTAATAATCCTCAACAAACGTCCGAGACTCGTGTGTTTTTAGACTACCGTCCGGTATGCGGACGTTCGTCCGAAATCGCTTTGTCCACGTTTTTTGCTTCAGACGGGCACTGTAGGAAATAGCCTCCCGGCGACGGCACCGAATCCGCGAGGTTAGAGACCCCGCTTGCTGTACTGCCTCCTACCGGGGGGGGGGGGGGGGGGAGGGCGTGTGGGGGAGCAGGGGAGATGGGGGGGGGGGGTATCGGCTCGCTACCCGCACGAGCCTCAGTGCAGTCCGCCATCCCGTATACATCGCGACGGGCGAGATGGTACGCGGGGGGGGGGGGGGGCAAACGGGAGGGGGGCTCCGCCGCCGCACTGCGCCGCGACTCGTCGGGAGCGAGGGAGGACGCGCAGATCGGCGGGGGGGGGGGGGGGCCCCCCGGTGTACAGCCATTACCCCTTGTGGGCAGGTTCCACCCATGGGACCCAAACTTTGTACAATGCATGGGGGGGGGGGGGGGCGGAAGGGAGAGGGGAATCCTGTAGCCATTGTTTACCAACACTGACCCGATGGCGCTGGAAATTTAAGGTTCCCGTCACGTGTTAAGTGGGCGATAAGAGCGTTTGAACAAGCGGGGTCATTTGTGCTCGTGTGATGGGACATCCCCCACGCCCACCCCACCCCCCAAACGTCCCCACCCCATCCCCTTCAACCGCATACCTCGGGCGGGCTTTTATTTGCTATTAGCGAGCGTCAAGAATGATCATTAATCCGGTTCGGGGGCGGCGAATTTGATTCATTGATCGCGTTTAATTTAAGCAGCCGGTGATGATTAATCCTGAGTGGGCCGACTTCGAGGATTATTCACGACGGCCGGCTTGGCTGCGCCACGACCTTTAACCCCGCGAGGGCGACCGCGCGGGCGGTTGCGCACAAATCAACTCTCCCCGCCCCCCCCCCCCCCCCCTGATTTATGTGGCCTCCACAGCGGCGGCGAGAGTGAGCTGCACTGCGCGTCACAGCTGAAGGGGGGGGGCCCGCGCGGGCTTCGGAGCGTTTAATTTGAACAAAAATAACCTCGGTGGCGGTGGCGGCCACCGCCACAGAGGGATGAGAAACTTTCGGAAACGTGTACGGCCCTTACGCTACCGCCCCCCCCCCCCTCCCCACCATCGTATGTTTTAGATCCTTGAACAGGAATGTCTGGTGTTTATAATAACGCAGGGTCCAGTGGGCAGCGAGACCGACGGGGGTAAAAACATTAATAGCCGTATTTGTCAAGCCACTGCCGGACGGTGTTAACACCCTCGCCTGGTATGTAGGAGGTTGTGGGTTCGATCCCGACCCTGACACCTGCTGTATATTTGGAGTTTGCGCGACTCTCTCTCATCATCATCATCACGGTGGCTAGGAGATGTTAATACCCTCGCCTGGTATGCAGGAGGTTGTGGGTTCGATCCCGACCCTGACACCTGCTGTATATTTGGAGTTTGCGTGTCTCTCTCTCTCTCATCATCATCACGGTGGCTAGGAGATGTTAACACCCTCGCCTGGTATGCAGGAGGTTGTGGGTTCGATCCCGACCCTGACACCTGCTGCTGCTGTATATTTGGAGTTTGTATGACTCCCTCTCTCTCTCTCATCATCATCACGGTGGCTATGAGATGTTAACTACCTCGCCTGGTATGCAGGAGGTTGTGGGTTCGATCCCGACCCTGACACCTGTTGTATATTTGGAGTTTGCACGACTCTCTTTGCCCGTGGCCACGTGGGTTTCTCTTCCGGGTCCTCCAGGTTTTTTCCTCCACGTTTAGAAACGCGCCGCGTTCACCATATTGGCTGCTGTAAATTGCACGGGGATAAGCCACTTCCTTGAGCTATTTGTGGCCAGGTCGCTTCTGAAAAAGAGCTACATAGCTCAGTGGGCCTCACCTGGTAAAATAAAAAAACTGTTTAAAATTTTATATCAGACAGCGGGATCTCGATGCATGTCAGCGCATCTTCAAGACTCCCTATGTAAGCCTTCGTAAGGCCACGCTGCTTTTACAGACCTTCTTAACCCAGATCTCTCTTGAAAAGGTGACTTCTGGTCTCAACCGGTTATTGCACAGCCACCCACCCTCCCCCTTTGCCATATCCACTGCTCAATGAGTACCTCCCCAACTAATAAGTTGACGATATCTTCTTGGTTCTTTCGGTAAAGTCACGTAGAATGGAAATAAAATAATAAAAATAAAACAATAAAATAAAAATAAAGTGATAATTTTATTTTATTATGTTTTATTTTTATTACTTCATTGTTTCCCTTCTACGTGACTTTACCGAAAGAACCAAGAAGATGAATCCCTGCAGTCACGAAAGCTTTCAATCGAAATTTAAAGTTGACGATACTTTGCCACGCTGGTCCATGGAGGACCAGCGTGGCATCGAATGAATGGCACTAGAACAAGAAATGAACACAACGGCAGTAGACCAATTTATTTTTCATCACTGCCCTCTGCCACCCCATCCAGCAGCAGCCGAAGACGCCAATATTTTTATGCAAGGTGGTCACCCACGCACACACCACCTGGACTCGACGCTGCTCACCTTCCGAGAACCGATGACAGTGGTTGCATTCCAGGTGATTTGATCAAAGGCGTCAGCGTAAGCACACCGTTGTTTGCTTGGTAAAACGACGGTCCGCTTGGATTCAGCAAAACGTGGATTCATCCCCAGTAGTTATTTCGGCCTACACGCCCACCTCCGCTCACTCTCACGCGGCAGCGGGCTTTGCAGGGTGTGAGCGAGTGGGCGGGCAGGTGAGATCCCGAGTGAGCTCGCGAGTGTGTGGGCGGATGCGTGGATTAATGGGCAAATTAACAGATGGAGGGGAAAATGGACAGGCAGGCAAATAATCGGATGGATGGATGGATACACGGATGGACAGAGGCACAGACAGAGAGACAAATGGGCAAGTGAAGCATGGACAGAGGGACGAACAGATGAACAGTCGTACGGAATGACAGACGAATGGATGGCCGCACAGCCGGATGACGAGATGGACAGACGGACGAATGCATGACAACACAGACACAAAAGACAGATGAACGGACGGCTGGACGGATAGCTGGATGAAGAAACAGATACACGGGACGGACAGACCTGTGGAGAGATGCACATTTGGACAGAGACGGACACAAAGGCCGACCGACCGATGGGCACGGCACCGCGTCAGCGGCCGGGCCCTCACCTTGACGGCTCGCTCGTCCAGCACGCGGTGCTTGCTCTGCAGCTTGTAGCGCGGGCGCCGCACCTCGCCGCCCTCTCCCGCGCCGGTGAACACCGAAACGTAGTCGTCGAGCCCGTCCGTCGCCGGGTACTTGGCGCTGGAGAAGACCTGCGTCCGCGGCGGGCAACAATCCACCTCCGATTAGCGCAGTTGGCCGCCGAAAGAAGTTCGACAAACGTACGTGCAACGTGTTCAAGAGGCCCCCCCCCCCCCCCCCAACCGTTAAACGAACAAAGACGGTCGCCGCATCGTCGCGGCGCTTTCAGATGTGCTTCTGCGGCCGTCTGGAATGGTCTATGATACAAGGAAGCCACTGGATCTATGCACTTTTAAATTCAGATTGAAAACGCGTTTGTTTAGAAATGCTTTTTTGTGTTTAGCTTGTTGTCCTTTCCCCCGCACCACCGATCAGCACGGTTGGCCACGTACGGTGCGGAAGTAAGATGAACATACGCACGCGCAACAACGTGCAGGTGCGACGACGCGTAGCAGATGGGAAAGCGTACGTCCCCCGTGAGACGTGCGTTCATTCCAATACATCGCCAGGGCCTCAAGGCCTGTGCAGTGCGAAGGCCGTCAGACAACAGGACATGTTTTGTGACGTTCGATTGCAATGAGATGTGGCGGCATCCTTCTTCTGCTATTTGTCCGGGGCACTTGGATACATGGCGGCGAGACCGCTGGACAACCAATGGTTGCCATCTACTATTTATCGGTTGAAAAACAACACCTTTTGAACACTGTGAGAATATTAGAATGTGCATTCACGCTGTAAGCGTGCTCGCGCGTGTGTGTGTGTGTGTGTGCCAAGTGGAGCGGCGGCGCAGGAGTTCGCGCACTGCACCGCTTATGACCAATAACGGTGGCGAATATCCGAACCGGTTCAAGGGCCTCACCTAGGTCAACTAATACACTGCTGATGGTGTATTAACATCAGCACCGGGGAGCCTAAGGGCAGCTGGGTGAGGTGCTGGCCAAACAACCCCCTTGGTGCACCGCGCGGGGCCTTAATAGGCGCTCGCTTAGGGGCACTTGCGCCAAGGGTCTGTTTAAGAGGCGATACAGAGGGATCTTTGTGCGCGTAAAATCGCAGGAAACACGTGCCCCCCCCCCCGCAAGCGCATTTCGGTAGAACGACTCTTCGGGACAATTATATTTAAGGGGAGGAGGGGGGTGGGGTGAAATAAAAATGAATCTCAGGTAAACAAAATCATTCACGTTGTGCGGTCACCGAACGCGCGGTGCTGAAAGCGCACATCAAATTTTCTCGGGACTGGTAATTCCCTACAAGAAGAACACCCCCGGGTTACGAAAACCAATATGATTCCCGCAATCGCACCTGGCCATTGCCGACCATTAAAGAGTCATTTTGAGCACGCCGCTTCGGACATTGGTCTTGGGACGGGCGGGCGGGCGGGCATGTCAGACGAATGCTCGCTGATGAAAGGTTGGCCAAAACGAGAATCCTTGATTAATCTCTTTCATACGGCGAGCGGCGGCGTCACAACGGCAGGGAAATTGCACCCTCCGTCCGCGAGCATGCGCACGGCCGCACGTGATAAACAACGTGCCCCCCCCCCGGCCCCACACCTCCCCCCCTCCCCGCCCCCCCCGACGCGTACCAACGACCCCTGTTCGCCAGGACACAACGCCGGTCTTGTCAAAGGAGGTCGCGGCCCTTGGCCGCGGCCGAAGTCCCGGCCGCGGTTGTCCTAAACTGTTTGTTCAAGGGAATCCCACGATTACAACCACGCCCGAGCACCAATTACCAAACCGTGACCCTCACGACGAACTGCTAGCGGCGCGCAGCGTCGCTCCGTGTGTGACCTGCGAGCATCGCCGGGGCGGGGGGGGGAGATGGGGGGGAGATGGGGGGGAGAAAACCTTTGGGCCGGGCGCTCCGGTGCATCCTCGGCTAATCGAAAAGCCGGGAGGATCGGAGATGACGATCGTCAACCTTCCCACCGTCAAACCGCCGTGACCCCTGTGAGGGTCCCCAAGCGGGGGGGGGGGGTGGGGGTGGGGGGGGGGGCAGGGGGGGAACGTTGCCAACAGGATGAGCGGCGTTGATGTTGCTCACAGCCGCCCCCCGGCGTCACTGGCAGTTGATGCCGGGGCAGCCGAGTCCCGTGCTCGGGGGCTTATCTCGGTGAAGGCAAGTGGCAGCTGGGAAATGAGAACGGGGGGGGTGGGAATCTCAGGGAGGGCATTAAACGCACGGCCACGTCTGCCCTCCACCCCTTGGCCCGGCTGAAATTCCACACGCGGCAGCGAACGCACGCACGCACGCGGAGGTTTCGCGGTTGCAATTTGGCGGCGCCAGCGCGACTTGTCGGCACTGGCGCTCCGCAGCTGCGATTGGCACGGGTCGGCTACGTACCAGGTAAGGCCCAATGAGAGCTAGATACAGCTCTTTTTCAGAAGCGACCTGGCCACAAATGATAGCTCAACGAAGTGGCCTATCACCATGTGGAAATTGAAAGCAGCCAAATACTTTAAATGTGTTTTCTAAAAATGGAGGGGAAAACCGGAGGACCTGGAGAAAAATCCACACGACCACGGGTAGAACACGCAAACTCCAAACTTGCAAATGTCAGGGTCGGGATTGAACCCACGATCCTCCTGTATACAAGGCGAGGTAGTAAACATCATCTCACCACCGTGGCACATACATACAAGCAGAGAGACTCCTTCTCCCTGCCCACCGCCCCGGCTAACCAACAATCAAGTAGATACTAAGTGCGCTGTACACAATACACTACGACGTGGATTTTTAAATGGAGTCTAAATGCATACGCCGGATCCGTAGATGCCGTACCGTAACAGTGGCCGTGTTTATTTCGTAGACAGAGACAGAGAGAGAGAGGTCAGACGTAGGTAGAATATAAAAGGGGGCAGAGGTATTCGGCGAGGAAACGACACTGGAGTCGGTGCTTCCTGTGTGCCGACTATAGGTCGCAGCGGTGATTTTCTGACCAGAGGTCACTTCGGACGAAAGGAAATTAATTGGCAGCGATTCCAGCCGACCATGGAGACGCGTTCCGGCACGGCGAGGCCAGCCGCGCGGCCACGAGGACGACGCGACGGAGTGTGCAACGGTAGGCCATTAGGCGCCGCGACCGAATATTAGCCCGTGGCGTTCAAATCTTAAGCCTGTGGGGCTGGAATCCCACCGCGGGCTGGCTGCGCGCGGAAAAAATGAAGCGAGGCGGGGGTAAAGACATTCCAATTATTGAACGCGGGAGGCAGGGGGATCTGCTTTGGCGGCCAAACAGATTCGCGCCCAGCAGTAGCGGGGGCAGGATGTGCGCGTAACGCTGCTGACGCCGCCGTCCTTGGCAATGAGCATAAACCATCACGCGAACCCCGGTCATCATCGCAGTGGCGGCTTTTTGGTAGCCATCAAACAGAGACGGCCATCGCATCGGGCGCTTTCAGACGCGCCCCCCGTGGCCGTCTGCAACGCCCTTCCTACCGATGTTAGGAGGCCACTGGAGCTATGCGACTTTTAAATCAAGATTTCTTTACAACTGCTTTTTTTTGCGTTGAGTTTGACGTCCTTCCCCACCGCACCTCCGACTAGCACGGTTGGCTACACAGGGCGCGAAAGAGGTTCAACAGACGGTGCGACGGGACCAAAAGAACCCCGTCTAAAAATTACACCCCGACCAGCCGCCTGCTAAGCGAGGGCCAGCTAATAGTTAACCGACGTCTCAAGACGCAGCGACGCAATCCGCGAGGTCGGGAAAGAATTGCGGCTCTCAGTCGGGACCCATCGTGTTCATTTTTTCGCGCGCCAAAGCTGCGCAGCGGGCCAAGCCAAAAACAACGTCAGGGAGGGCCGCGGGGTAGCATCGTATGAGAGGACGATTTGGACGCACTGCGTGTGCCCTGTGGGGATGGTGGCGGGTTGATGACCTGAGAGTGAGGGCACCTTCTGTCGAGTCAGAAAAAGCTGGCCTCGAGCGAATTGCTTCGTCCCCTACAGCTGCCCGGTGAGTTGTGCCGGGGAATTTACAAAGTGGCACGTCCGTTGTTGCTGCGGATACCGAGACGCATTACGGGATTATTATTTTTTGTTACACATCCTCCGTTATTATTGCTCCGATTGTGTACGGCATGCACGTCGAACCTCTTTCGCAGCGCACGTAGCCAACCGTGATGAAAGGAGGTGCGGATTATTTGTGCTATCGGTGTCACGAGACTAGCAATCCACTAGGATCTCTCATAGGGCAGTGCTAGCATCACACGGCAATGGGTAGATGTTAATTACATTGCCTGGTATACAGGAGGGCTTGGGTGCCATCACGACCCTCACACTGCCTGCTGTATATTTGGAGTTTGCGTGTCTCTCATCGTCATCACGGTAGCTATGAGATGTTAACTACCTCGCCTGGTATACAGGAGGCCGTGGGTTCAATCCTGACCCCGACACCTGCTGTATATTTGAAGTTTGCATGTCTCTCATCGTCATCACGGTGGCTATGAGATGTTAACTACCTCGCCTGGTATACAGGAGGCCGTGGGTTTAATCCTGACCCCGACACCTGCTGTATATTTGAAGTTTGCGTGTCTCTCATCGTCATCATGGTGGCTATGAGATGTTAACTACCTCGCCTGGTATACAGGAGGCCATGGGTTCAATCCTGACCCCGACACCTGCTGCTGTATATTTGAAGTTTGCGTGTCTCTCATCGTCATCACGGTGGCTATGAGATGTTAACTACCTCGCCTGGTATACAGGAGGCCGTAGGTTCAATCCTGACCCCGACACCTGCTGCTGTATATTTGAAGTTTGCGTGTCCTCCCGGTGATTGCGTGCATTTTTCTCCGGGCCCCCAATTATTTTTTCCCTGCACATTTAGAAACACGCTTTTAGAGTATTTGGCCGCAATTAACGTCCACGTGATGATAAGCCACGTCGTTGAGATATCACTTGTTGCCAGGTCGATTCTGAAAAAAGAACTACGTAGATCAGTTGGGGCCTTACCTGGTCGAATAAAAAAAACACACACTTGAGAAACCCGTTTTAAATCGCAAATCGACTGCCTGGATTGTGAACCCAAGATCTCAGCAGTGTCGGCTCAACGTTCTGACCTCTGAGCCTG